AGACCAGGTTTCACGGGTTAGTATCTAGTCATTTCCTTTTAATTCCGCGCCGGTGGTGCACGTGCTCAGAACACGCATGCCTAAAACTGAACGCGCATGCCTACATCAATCCAAATGCTGTGCAAAATAGCCGTTGTGTCTGCCGCCATCATGCGACTCAACTTCTCCCATTAACCAGAGTGTGCCGGCTTTAACAGAAATAAAGGGTTCAGTCGAGGATGAAAAATGACGTCAGTGATACCCGCCAGCTATACATTTTTGTTTCGATACTTCCAAACGAGTCTTGTGCAGTTTTTAACATAGGAAACATGGGTAAATAACATTTATGAAACTAACAGTGAAAAAACCTGCATTTTTCTGCCCTTTTTTCGGAAAAAAATCTGAAAAATGAGAGAGGAGTCTGTATCCATGATACCCCAAGTTTGTTATTAACACGTTATGTTCCCTTGACGCGATGAGGAAAATTACTTAGTACATTTTTTTCATTCGGAAATGTGTTGGTACAGTTTCAGAATATCCCAGAAATGTCATGTAATGATAAAAACTTGACCTCTAACGAGGCATGCAAAATCATTAGGAGTAGTTAAGTAGAAATGATTTGCATGCTGAAAATGTCAGTATCATGAGATGTGTGACGTTTTTGTATTACAATTAATAATACAGCACTACATTTGGAGTGTGCACCGTGAAAACCCTGGTGTAAAATCAACACTTTTGGTGTTATGAGATGACCACACCATAGGTATTACTTTAACACCGCAGGTGTTACTTTGTACACCTGTAAATGTTACAATGCACTGGAGGGCGTTAAAAGTAACACCAAATCACACCAGGATTTTTAACACTAGTGGAAAGAGTTGGTGTAGTCCTCTGATAACACCGGGGTGTTAAATACTCCAGTTTTTGAAGTGTGGACATGAATATTTCGATACGTGAACGATATTTGAGGTAATAGATGCAATAACAGTGAGAAAGTTACACGTACCGTCCAAAGGAGTGATTCCCTTTTTTCATACAAACCGCTCGAACAGAGTGAAATTTCCACTCATTCAAGCAGCCGTCATGAGGGATAACTGGAATAAGAGTTAGACTTGATATGGTTCCTCTTTGGGAGTGATTTTCTCTCCTTCTGGAGCATTTTTTTTATAAGGGATGCACTCTTTTAGGGACTGGGTTTGTCACTCTTTTCCTTTTAGAGAGATATCTCCTGCAGACTGCATAATATTACATATCTCACTGAAGTGATACATCATATAAACGGTGTCGACTCTTTTCCCACTACTTCCTCAGTCACAGTTAACCGAAAAGACTCGTCACCGTTGACCGGTAATTTTTACAGAGACGGTGAAATGTTATTGGCAACGGGTTACATCGACCAATTAAATGATCGTGTTTTGTTGGGAGAGGGCCCAGAAATGTTATTCTGGTTTGGCCAGTTTATGGGTCCGTTTCACTTTGCAGCCGACATTAAAATAAATAAATAAATGTTCAAAAGTCTCTACTGATAACTTGGAAAAAGTCATATTTTTCTACTTCAAAATTGGAGTATTATTTTCAATTTTTCATACTAGTTTTCTCATGAAATGTTACATTAATTTGGTATTACCCCACTTTCCTAAACACATCATCAACGTGTTATTTAATACTGCAGGGCCGTTACTTAAAGGTTCCTATACAAAACATGAACACACTGATTTAAAATAGTCATCTTTATCGCTGGCAGTGTTTTTCAGTCAATTATTTTTTTTAAGTTGAACTAAATGCTACAAGGTACATTCGATTTATTCACACGATACATGTTATGTACATTATTGAAGGAAACGGCGCTCCTTGTAGATCACGTGACGGTTTACATCACGTGGCTCCTTTACATCACGTGGCCTTTTGTCTGTAACTCAGGGGTCACGCGGCAACAAATTCAACAGCGGTTTCACCTCTGAGACGTTCTCTCATTTTTTTGGGCCGGGCCCACCCCATTTCAACTCGACAGCATTGGAGAGGTTCTTTCGTCGCGACTCCAGACTAGACCACAGTTAAGTGGGCGGGACTTTCCGGTCCAATAATAAATGGAAACAAAATTCGACCTACAGTTGACTCCTGGGGGCGAGTGAAGTCATCATGTACGATGGACGGTAGTAAACTCGACTTCTGAGTGCGGCACGCCGGATACCGTGAGACAGATTGTCCTCGTGGGTGATTCGACTGGCTTTTGGACCGTACCGTATGTTGCATGCGCATTATGCATATGTGCATGGTAACGCACATCATTGATGCTAACAGAATCCTATTAATGTGCAGTAGAGGTTTCCTAATTGGTTTCCTGGCGAGTCACGTGACAAGTTCAGCAATCACTGGTCCAATCAGCAGTCAGTACATTATTACCAGTCACAACGAACCTAATTAGCATACGACAGCCAAAGGTAAACGTAGGCGACTGCTCTTAAACTCCTGATAATGTCGTTACAGATGACAAGCGAAGACCCGTTGTATGACAGGCTGCTCGAAGAGAAGGAAAAAAAAACAAATTGACCCGTCTGTTTTGCAAGCTGGACACTCATCACTCAAGGACTGGTGAGGGCGCTACACTCCCATGAGCAGTCCCGTGAAGTCGGAGCCGGCCTGCACAGTGATCCTCCGCACGGAACTGTTATCCACGTATATCGAGGCGTACTGTCCAGCCTGAGGCGAAGAGGAGAAAAAAGGCAATTGAAATTCGTGAAAAGATTGATGAGCGTTTACACTCCTGTCTGAAGGCGCATGCCTGTAGGTGTAACCTTTAACCTCATCAAATCTTGACCCCATTTCTCAACCTAATTCAACCTCCGTCCGTTGTTTACATGTGGGGTTCAGTGAATTTATTTCCAGTGCCTTACGCAGACCTGAGAACGAAAGATGCATGATACAGGATTCGGAGACGCCCTGTGTTTCTCTGAAATGAAGCTTTAGGGGCAATTTGGGGTCCGAGTTTATTCGTCGCAAAATGAAGAGGAACGGTATAAAGAAAATCGTCATGATGTTTGAAACGAATAAAATAGTCTGGTTCCCTGCCTACCTCCAACTGCAGTAACCCAGACAAGTTGACCGTAAATACCCGACTGTTGCTCTCCAGTCCCGATATGTACTCCAGGGACCTGGCGAGCAGAGAAAGAAAAAATACCACACAATAAAACAGATTTCCACTTTGTGAAGGGTTTTTCGTCGAAAAGGCTGCGAGGGGAAAGGAGCTGTCCAAACAAAGCAAACCACTTTCTGATAATCTTTGGTTCCCAAGTCATTCACCGGCCACTGGGGTAATTTATGCCAGCTTCTTGTCTCGATATTAAAACTTTACTGCACGGTCAACTTATTCGGAATACGGTTCATGCATAAATAAATAATTATTGACGCATGCGCACTACTGCGTGCACATTGATGAATCTGCATGGTTCTAAACAGACCTTGGCTGATCAGACTAGAAAGACGCAAAAAAATCGGTTTCAAGCTTATGCTGTGTGTGAAAGTTAGGGATGTGGCTTACAATTGCACGCCGTGTGCTTACAGCGAAGCCATTGGCAAGTTAGCTGTAGCCACATCCCACAAACATGCGCGTTACTGATGGCCAAAACCAAGTACAAGTTCGAGCGACGACTGTGTTGTTTTCAATCAACCACTGGTGGATATTTGCCTGGTACGCAGAAGATATCTTGCTTGTGCACAGGTTACCAGTTGAATTCCACCAGTGGTTGACAAAACATGATGATTGTCGCAGGAACGTGCCTCAAGAGTGTACCACAAAGCTATTGATAAGCGACCTTTGTCAGACTGTTGGAACTCTGGCCTACTCGTAGAGGGTGGCAGAGGTGGCATTATTTTTTTTGGGGGGGATCCTATACGTAGAATTGGAAGGTGTCTTGCAAGGCCTTCTGAGATCATCTCGACAAAAAAATCTGGCGTCGGCCAACTCACGTGTGCCGCTGGCAGAGCGAGTTGATGCAGATGAGGAGCCGGACATTGTCCCGGTGGCGCAGCTCCTCCACGCGCTTGGAAGACACCGGGTGGTGGATGTGCAGGTTGGCCGAGAATTGGTAGATGGCGGACCGCGGAGCTGTGAAGCGACCCGACCGTACGTCCATCCCGTCTCCCCGCCGGAACGAGCCGTCTGAGAAAGGCTGTACACAGGCCAAGACAAGGCAAAATTTCAGTGAAGATCTCAATCCGAAATCACAAGGAAATTTCATTTTGTTCGCTCTCTCTCTTTTTAACCGGGTATTCATCAACTGTTAGAATACTGCCCGGCAATACGGGCGATTCACAAAAGTGCGCCAATCACAACGTGCGAAATCTGTTGACCCTTTCCAAACGCGCATTGGGTTGATAGATTTCGCGCATTGAGATTGGCCAGCGCGTTTACAAACTCTTGGAGGCGCACTTTTGTGAAACGACCAAATTCACTTTCATTCATTGCAATTACTTAAACTAAATCTATTTAATAGAATACTTGACACAATTACCATAACATAATACCCACAGGATGATTGTCAGATCTAAAGAGTTCTATCGTCAGCAGTGTACATGTAGATACACTTTATATAACGGGTTTTGCCCTTACCCAACGTATATATTAATAAACACAGTATGCTCAGTGCTTGTCCGAGAGCTTGCGGAAAAACTCACAACCCTGGGTAAGGGCAAACCCGTTATATAAATTAACATCTCCCCAACGCAAAAAATTGATCTTGAAAAATACATACACTTTGTTAGATACAATGTTCAGCCAAAGTTGCCTAAAATTCCTCGACCAAATAGTCGATTGCTTCTGCCTTTGATAACCTTACCGAGTGTTAATTTTGGATTCAGCTGGGTGACCAACACTTTCCAAGAATTGGTGAATAAAAACCATGACTTGCGCCGTACGAGCAAATAACGTTGTGCTTACAGTCTGAAAGTTGGCGATTTCAATGAGGCTCTTCTTTGGTACGTCCACACCCCCTCTGAGCTTGCAGTGGAACGCTATGGGAAGGTGCGGCATCAGGATGTCATCGTGCACTGTAGGCAGCCACATCTGCGTGGTATTCTCAACGCTGCAGGTGGGGCACTGGAGGCAGGGAGTAAGGATATCAGTTGCAATGGCGCAATTGTTACAAAGTGATGGTTCTAACCATACAAACACACAGAACATTGCAATTCGGCATAAGTCATACACTTCCATCATGTTTGCATAAAAAAAGCAGTTGGAACTGTTTCTGGTCTCACTGGATGTGAGTTCTGAACGCATGTACTCTGAAATCGAAAGTTTTTGTTGAAAATTTGATCGGAATTGCATGGAAGTTCGCATAAAAATGCTACCTAGAGTATATCCTTAAAATTGCAAGATTCCCTTCAACTATTGTTGCAGTAAGAGGTAAGTTTTACGGGGCACTGCCAACACGTGCGTCACCAAAATTGTTCAGATCGTGCTGAATGCAAGCTGCTCAAAATTTAATAGAATTTTCATTCTTACGAATTTCCGAACATTCTTGCATAATTGCGTTAAAATCTTGCAACCTCTTTGAGCATATTCGCTCGTCCAGGGGAAAAGTAGCATAACACGTATACTGCCGTGCTGGCATTCCTCGGGATTCAAGGAGGCGTGTCAACGACGACAAGAGGATTATTACGGGGTTTAGGAGGCGGGATGAAGGTCTAATCCGGATCCTGGCCTTTTCCCCCCAGAACAGGTGTGACAGCTTACCCGGCTGCCATGCTCCGGCCGGATCCGCAGACAAAACGCACTGGCGTAATAATATACCTGCATGCGTAATCCGATCCGATTTTCCTTTCCTGTTTTTTTTTTTTTCAAGAGCGCATTTCCGAGTCGGGCGTTCTTCCTGTGGAGGTGGCTGGTTTATCCTCTCGGTCTTTAAAGAAGTATCATTAGGTATTTTCTTCATCCGCGACGCGGGGGACCATTTCAGGACGGATAGCAGGGCGCTTGAGACGATATCGTCGTGGTCCCAAGGAACTGAATAAGGCAAGGCTGATGAGATTGGGGAAATGGCCGGCACGCAACCAAGGTTTTGCTTTCCTTTGCCAACACACAAGTTTCGTCCCTTTCAAGTGAAATTACAAATCAGGCCAAAAAGTCACGGTATTTAAGAGAGCATAACCAAGTTGAAAATATGATAGGAAGCCTATTCAATGCTTATGTCACTTGTCTTCACCTTCTTGGCTTTCCATTTTTTTCACTACCCGGATTGTTTCTGCCATTGGTGATCCCAATCGGCCTCGAGCAGGACCGAGAGAGGGCGCTATTTCATCAGCAACGGAGGCTCCTTTGGTGCGAACTGTGCATCGCTGGTTCGCGCTACCAACAAAATGAATACTCCTGACAAACGCGACTATTTTCATCTGAAGAGGGAGTGCTTCAGCTCGAGGCGGTCGCGATTTTGCCCGGCCCGGAGCATTCGTCTATGGCGCAAAACCCTTTGTTTGCTATATTGACACGATTTCCCAAATTGTCTTTGAGAGGTTTCAGGAAAACTGTGGTGCTGAAACAAAAAAAATCGACCGGGAATCCTGTCCATTACTGAGACACTAGTGAAAAACTGTTTCATCTGCAGTAATTTTTCTTTTCTCCTTGAAAGTCTCACTTCTGATGTACAGTTTAAGGAAACAAGATAGTAGCATTTAAGGGGCTTGGCTTGACGAAGCCGCACGCACTTAATACAGATTGAGGTTTCATTGGGTCAGGATTTACTCACTTTCTCCTGAATTATAATCTGGGCCCGTCTCTCCGCAGCCTCTGCAAAAAAAAAAAAAAAAAAAAAAAAAAGATCGACAGAAAAAAATGGTTACAGATTAATTAAGTAAATATCATTATGTATAGCTCTATCAAATCAGTACATTTCGCTCTTCAATGACTCAAAAAAAAAACCTATTCATCTACTGACTTTTATGTCAACCATTTCTGGTGATAAAACCAAAGGTTCCTCAAAAGTGCGCTGGTTCTGTAGCCCAGAGGCTTGAGGGAACCTAGAGAGGGGCAGAGGATGAAGAAAATTTCCAATTTCGGAGGGGGGGGGAGGGAGAAACCCCTGGAACGGGGCTTCGGGGAAAAATTCAGAATCGGATATGGAATGGAAAGGCAGTCTGCGGTGGGATTCGAAAGCGAGAAAAGCAGCACTGCGTACGCCTAGCTGACTCCACCGATGGTACAAACAGGGAACTAAAAGCTTAGTCGGTTGGACTATTTGAATATTCAACCTTTGAATATTCGGTCTAATGTTTGGTTATACCAAATTGCCACGAAAGCAGAAAAAAATACACCTTATACAATTTCGAAAATATATATTCAACATTGGATAACATTCGATCAAATTTCTGAACGTTCAAATAATCCGTACCGCCCAAAAAAGAACAATACTGTGAGGCATGTACCTTTAATAAGATCCCTGAATTCCTCAAGTAGTTCCTCCTTCGATACCTGCGCACCGGGCGGGCCTGGCGGGCCAGGGGGTCCCTGGGGGCCTACCAAGCCGGTGGGTACAACCTCAGACTGCGGTACAAAACAGTACACGGAGGGGGTTAAACTAGAGAGTGAATTGCCACGTGGGCAATTACCGTGTAAAGAGCAGTGATTGTCCAGCCAATGTTAAATATCAATACGGGCCTATTGCAAGGGAGCGTCTGTCAAATAATGTGGATTCAAACCAACTGGGGCCAATTTCATGGAGCTGCTGAAGCACAAAATTTGCTTAAGCGTGAAAAAACCTTGCCTGACAAATCAGGTTACCAGCCCAAACTCCATGTGATGTATATTGGTTTGGAATGGTATTCACCTGTCTTTTGGTTAGCAGGACAATCACACAGAGTTTGAGTTGGTAACCATTGTTTTTAAAGCAAGGTTTTTTGTGCTTAAGCAAATTTTGTGCTTAAGCAGCTCTGTGAAATTGGTCTTGCACATATTTTCCTACACTTATATGGAATGTTCTTTGAAGTCCGGAAAGTGGGCAACACAGTACGCATATAGGCCCTAATGCATGAGATCTCCATTTGTATGCCTGATGTAGTGTGCTTGACAAAGCTGGTTCGACATAGATTTCAATACCGGGTGAGCATATTAATACAGGTACTGCTGGGTGTTAACTCAACACTAAAATAGCAAAGTGAATAGTGTTTTAAACCTCTTCTAACACCGTTTCAGCATTAATAATAGGGCTCAAATACACCAACTTGTGTTAATTCAAGACAAAGCAGTGTGTATAGTTAAAAATTACGACCTCTACAGAATAATTATGATCTATACAGGTTACCAAGGTAGGGCACATTGTATTACACTAACAAAGTTTCCTCTCAAAGTTTTGCCTTGCTATAACAAGAGCATGGCACGCCCACAAAATGGACAACCTATGGCTCCTTTAAATTTAACAAAACAAAGGGGGAAAAGGGAGATAAAGCGGGAAATCTTTACATCAGCGGACGCGGTTGTCAGCTTTATTAATTGGCTATAATTCAACTTCCCAGCGGACCCTGTGTTTTTCTACGGCAGCGTGAATCTATCATCACGCCCACCGTGTCTGTGAGGAAGTTTATGGCGTGAAAACCTCCGCCGTCGCGAACCCAACGCGCGATATCCCGTTCAACAGGAAGGCTCTTTTTTTTTTAATTTCAGACGACGAAGGGCGCTTGGAAAGGGGCGCGTTCGGCCAGTCGTCTTGAGGGGTGTGATGTTGTTGTAGTCGGGACACTCGTTGATTACTGACTGCCGATAAATCTTTCATCAAGCCCCTGTTGTCCTTGCCGATGTGATTGCTTAGAGGCCGGCTCCTGTGATGAGCGCTCCACGCGATCGCGATGTGTGATTCGCGTTTGGGACAGGCGTTAACCCCCAACACGCCTGCTAGACGAAACAATGGCAGAGCTTCGGGTGCCGTAGGGCCCAAGTTGCCCAACCCTGGTGGCCGTTTCCGTCGATGGAAGGGGCTGGACCAGACAAAGATAACAGCTACCATCTTGTCTCATCTCGTCTCTTCCCTGTTTTGTTTGGAATGTATCGTCTTGTTTTTCCAAGGAAGATGGAATTAGCATGTTGGAAGATGTCGAGAGATCAAACAGTCGCGCCACGCACGTCAAGGGTTTTATTTTGCACCAAACCCTCACAGAAGCTTCACCGACTAATGGAAAACTTTTCTGCTTTGAGCCAAGGAGTAAAAGGGCATGGATGAACACCTTGACGAGTCGAACATAATCTGGGGAAGGGTAAAAATGCGGTGAGGGGAAGGGGCCAGCGTGCGCGAAGTCGTAGTCTCGTGCACTAGCAGACTCTTTCTGGAAGGGACTCGTGAAGCCTTCCATGTTAAAAGCATTTCTGATATCCATCCGTCAGGGGCGGATCTCGCTTTAAGGAAACAGCGGGGGGGGTATGGGGGTGAGTGAATACACCCTGCTTGGTGAATAGGCCTAAAGAAGAAGAATTGGAGTGCTTTGCATTATCCTGCATTCTTTGGGCAATACGGGCAATTCACAATAGTGCGCCTCCAAGAGTTTGCCACGCGTTGACCAATCGCAATGCGTGAAATCTGTCGACCCTTTCCAAACACGCTTTGGGTCGACAAATTTCGTGCACTGTGATTGGTCACGCGTTGCAAACTCTTGGAGGTGTACTTTTGTGAAACGCCCGTATTATGGAGAATAATGTTAGGGACTTAAAGGATCCGTAGAACGATTGTCTCCGAGACAAAATTTTTGAGCAAGTTTACACTCACTTTCTATGTGTGAAACTTATAGCCTTTTCTGGAGTTTAGTGCACTTAAAAAAACGCTTTTCAAAACATTACATCATTTCAAAGCATTTCCAGACAAGCGAGGGCGCTGTTGCAGTGATGTGAAACAGGGACATACCAGGCACGAAATTGGAGAGAGGGGTCCCCTCCACACAAGTCCAATCCCTATACACACTCCAGCCTATTGTTACTTAACACATCCCCCCTAGATGTCTGAAAAGAATTCCTGAAATACCAGTATAACAATAACCAACACAATGGCGCGGGGGGGGTTCTCTCTGTCCTATAGTTTGCATCAAATGAACAGGAAAGACAGTGTCAATGCAAAAAAGGAAGATCTCACCGATGCAATACTGAGGTTCAACGCCCGGGAAGAAATCACAATTTTGCTCATGAGTATGCAAATTCGTAGCACAAAAGCAAACCCAAACCCTCCGAAGTTCGGATTAGTATTGCAAAGCATTGAAAATAAGGTTGTGAAAAACAGAGGGGAAATATCAAGGGCCGTAGTAAAATATTTGTATGACATGGCCCCTTTAAGAATTTCAGTTAGCATTCGCGGGCCATTCTGCCAGAATTGAGTCAGTCAGCCCCAACAATCCTATACTGTCTCAAATATCATGCTTCATTTCGGGTTAGTGCGCGTACACTTGACAACTGTTATGTTCTGCCACGGTTCTGCAGTACACACTGCTCCCCGAAATCCGGTCCAAAAATGTTGCAGCGGAGCAACAGGCTGGGGGTGCCGATAAGGGGATCTTGCAACACCCAGCTCACCCCCTTTCCAAAAGGTTATGGCCACCTCCGAGTCGAGTCGTGTCTTCGCGGTCATCACTCACTAGGTTGCGGCTTATCGTCTCTCAAAGAGCGGAACCTCCACTTGTTTTAATGATCGAGAGGACTAGACAATGTTGTCGCTACTTAAGGGGGCTTCCTCCTCGGCTAAGCCTTGGGCCGTCGGGTTTTCTTTCCCTTCTAGCCTCTAAAAATACACAGCCAGGGTCGCGGCTTGTGAGCCTCCCGGCTCCCCGAAGCCCTAGACGGCTATTAAAACGCCGGTTGGAAAATTGAATGTTTCCGTCAGAAGGAGGACGATATGGAGGCTACAGGAGAAGAGACAAAAAAGTCAGGGGGGGGGAGTAAGAGGTCGGGGGAACAAAAGAAGAACAGGAAGACCGACGACAGGGTGGATTAATTTTACCCGGGCTTGGCAAAAAAATCCTGATTTTCAGTTGTCTGAACAGGCTGTCAAAAGCTTTATCGCCGGGGTAATCTCGACGGGATCATTTTGGACGGCGCAAAAACAATCTGTACTGCGCACGACTGGCCTCAGAACCCAGGAAATTATGTGCGAGTCCAAATCGGGTATCGGCGGCTACATAGCAAATTCGAAGCCGTCGCCACGAGTTGGACACTGCATAAGACTTTCATTTTTGTCGCTCAGAGAAGAATTCTCCTTCATTTTTATTATTAGCTTGCCAGAAGTCCAGTAGTAATTACTAAACAGGATCCCGTTCGCTAACCTCTAGGCCTACATAATAATAATTTGTGCATAGTCTTTTTTAAGTACATTATATCGACTACTGTTGTGTATAAATCGTTGGATGCGACAAGTCTTGCCACAACTGTGGATTTCGAGCAGCGATGAAGAATTCCAAATTGGTCAGTGTTTCCAATTGGGCCACTTACCAGCTTCCTGGGGTTGCCTAGTTCCCCTCGCTCCTTCTTTTTCTTCTTCTTCTTCTCGCATTTCTTGTTGCTGCCCTCGGATAACCTGGAGGAGTGCTGGACGAACGACAGCCAACTCCCACGGGGGTCTACCCGAGTGCCGCCCTCGCCCGTGTCCTGTCAACAAAGGTCGAAAGGTCGGATGAGTGCACGCTTTTTTGACAAGCTGAAGCGTAAGACGAAAGCCCGCTGGCTTATTCGCTGATTTTTTGGCATTACTTTCAGGCGCCAATTTCGCCGATCCGCCATGCGGGGTGAGCGAGATTACCGACCAAACAATCGCACGATGAACATCGCTGATACCTGGTTGGTTTGGCGCCACGATTTAATTAGCTCCATGAAACTGGCCAGAGGCACCTGTGACGCTGTGTATGTCCAGTGATAACGACTCCCCTATTTTAAATGATGTTCAAGTTTTGACAATTGTTAAAACGCGGACTTTTTTGTAGGAGAGCAGTTGCCACCCATTATGTCACGTGCGCACGCGCGAACATCACTTAGAGGGTTTGAACATGGAGCTATCAAAAGGCTCCATGGTTTGAAATCCATCTCCAGGTCTTACATAGGCATCCGGGTGCCTTCATCGTGCCTCGCGCACGCGCCCTCCGAACGCACAAGCGTAAACCTTGTGCCAGCATCGCGCCAAGAGTGCAGCGAAACTCTTCCCATCCTAATTGTTTGAATAAGAACAGAAATGAGTGCGTTATTATTGTCTGTCAGATAGTATAATGCCACCAAAAGTCATGTAAACAAATAACATCAGCCATATGTGGGATTAAGACAACAAAATCGGCAACTTTGAAGTCCAACGAAATGTCACCCTGCTGAAATGTGGGCCAATTCATGGCTTACATCCCGCGACCCATCGTCGGTGCCAAATTAAAGAATAACACGGGGCGGTTTGAGGTTGTCAAACCATAGATCTGCATGATGTTGAGATCGAGGCATAGTGAAATATTAACGTAACAGTTTCAACGGCGTGACCCCCCGACGAAAACCGCGCCCGGAGAGTCGGCGCGTGTCCCGTAAAGGCCGCTGGGCACGGCACGGTTAGGGGCGGCAAACAAAACAAACCGCGAACTTGTGGAAATGACTTTTGGACTGCCTCGATTAATCAGCGTCTTCGGCAAGTGATTAAAAACAAGCGCGGTGAAATAAGTGTTGCAGAAAAAAAAGGACCAAATCCACACGTACGCCTCGGGCTTTGTTTATAGGGCAACCCAGATTTCTTTTTTTTTATGCAAAGGGTGAGGCTGCATCGCAGGGCATATCTCATCCGCTCTCTGGTCTTTAAGCTCGAGGCTGAAGACTTTAAAGAATTATCAACGTTTAGTCGTGTCATCACATTTTTTTATACCTTGGAACGAGCTCAGCGACGGACGCCCCGCGGAGATAGATTGCCTGGGGTCGGGCGCGCGTTGGCCCCTCGGCATCCATTCTCATGACACGCTGAGCTCGCCTTCCTCGTAAAAAAGGAGAGACCCGCCCGTTTGTAAATGTCCCATCAAATATGCTTAAATTGAGATGACCCCGGTGACTGTTTTACGCCAATGTAAACCTCGCCGCGCATAATAGTTGGGCCGCATGGGGACTGCAGAGTTGAAATATCACCGGCAAATTTCACCGGGTTTGTTCAGTACACAGTAAAATGCGTTACCGGACTGCCTGGTCTTTGAAATGGAACCGGTTCCCAACAGAAAAAAACGTAAATTTTACGGCGCTCAAACTCAAAGTCACATCTCCACTGGATGGCATCATTTGAAGACCATGCTCCTGATTTTGTTAATTCTCAATCAAGAGCAAGATTACTTCAAGAATAAATCTCATAAATAAAAGAACTGTGACAGGTCCATTATTGGCTTGTGTGCTGTCTTTGCTAAAAATTAAAACAAAGCAGCGACAGGTCACGAATTCTGTATACGAAAGTGCTTTGCGCACTGTATTGTGACATGAGGACCGGCAGTGTATTCGGGGGCCGGAGGGGACAACTCCCCTCCCTCCGAACACGACGACGTTTCATCATATTTTTGTGGGGGGGGGGACTAAAAGTATGCACACTTAACTTAAGAGTAATAATATGCACTTTCGGGGGGAAAGTGGTGAAAAATATTTGGACATGCCCTGACTGAAAACGTGGATATGCTACTGGTGACATTTTTGAGCGCTGTTTTGTACATTTGGAGGAATCTTTCGGCAATAGACCTTATTCACGGGGAAGCCATTTTGATCGTGTCCATGAATCGATCATATTCAATCTAATAAATGGGGTGGTGCCAGACTATTTGGGCCGCCAAACCTCACTTTCATTTTTTTTAATGTGGCTTCAAATATTCAAATACGATTTATCAAATTTTTTTTTTCAAAATGTGGCCTTAAGTTGTAACGAACTTTTATTTCGTTGCTGTTATTTTTACTATCAGGTTCCGAAATTGAAATGCTAACCCCACTTTCAATCCAAGATGGCTGAGACATGAAAACAGTCCATTGATAGATGACCTAAATGTGCGAAGGTTGTTGCGTACACCTTCTGTCAGTAAAAACATGGTTCCGACTGGCGCATCAAGGTGAGAGAGACGTGAAACTTGTTCTTTGCACTAGTGCTGTGATCTCTGACCCACACCCAACCCTCTTGCCTCCCCCGTGAATCATGTGCAAACCGACGTCAAAATCCAAAACCTTCGAAATCCGTCAGCCCGCGTCAACCCCCCGTGACCGACCAACAATTAGCCCTGAAGATCGCTCAACTTTGCCCGCCAAGCGGCCAAGGACAATGAGAGAGAGAGAAAAAAAACCCCCAAAAAGCAGAGATTGGAAAATAAATACTCCTAGTTTGGAATTCTCCGTTCCCCCGTCCAGTAGATGCTTCCTGCGCGACAGCACCCCGCGTCGCTACACGTCACCTTTGCCGCCAATTATCGCTACCATATCGGTAATTAATGACCGGCTTTTCGCTGTTTCGCTTGAGAAGGGCATGTCGAGGATATTTTTTGTGGGGGAGGGGGCGGGTGGAAATTCTTTTTTGGTTTGACGGAGGACATGTTACTAATTGACTGTCCTCCGGCCTCGATCAGCGTGCAGTCCCGGCGCAGATCGCGGCAACACACTGACGGCTGCGGTTTGCCGGAAATTTATGGTGCCGAGAAAACATTTCGGCAACCAAGGATCTCCAGCTTCTTGTCGAGTTCGACAAAATATGCACAGGCCACAAAGAAGGAATGAATTGTGCGCCTCGTGAGGAGAATGAAATTTGCTGAAGAAAATCAAAATTACTGTGTAAATGTTCAAAACTTGAGACAAAGTCGCTTACATGAATTTGATAAAAGCAATGCATCTAAAATTTTCGGAATGGACTATGATATGAAAGTCACTACAAGCCTTCCGCTGTGCTTATTATAGGCATTGAAATGTTGTTTGTCCTTTCATATTTAACAGTTACATCAAAAATATTAATATTATGATCTAGGTCTTGATATGTATGGACACTGGCTTCTAAAATGTCGGTTCCTCCTGCCAATTTTGTAAACATGTATCATTTTTTAGAATAGCATGTGAAATGATTGGGAGTGAGATCATTGATAAAGGAATGAAAACAACGTCTGCGCATGTTCTATGCCCCCTGCAGATGGTTAGGGCATAGTCTATCCGCTTCGAGCAGAAGCACCCCCTCACTGGTTGAGAAGAGCCGAGTTGGTCGGGAGTGTTCATTTTGTTAATTAATAGCTCTGCGACTGCAACACTTGCGTTTCATAGTTGTTCGTGAACCAGAGAGTTACTACCAAAGGAGCCTCCCTTGTTAGGAAAAGTGCGCCCTCTCTCGGTCCAGCTCGGGGACCATTATGGGCACTAATGGAAAATCCCGCCCACTGCTCACGCGGGCGACAATTGGTATGTCCTCTCTCCAATGCTATATTGCATTTACCGAGACGCGCGCGTCGTACGTGCGTGCGCGTACCTCAGTCACATAACACGATTTCGATTGGTCAGAATACCACAGGGGCGGGCTTAATGGATCAGCCTGCTACAAACTCAGACCTGCTCAGTCTGAGTTGAGAATGGAGCAATAGATTATTACCTTAGGTTTATAGATTCTCCCCTTTCCCGTAAGAGACGATCTTTTCCCCAAGGTATAATGGTGGAAGAAAATGAGAAAGAAGGTTTTTAGCCTCAATGTAGGAACGAGGTTGTATACCAGCCTTGCTGAAGAGGCCATCCCCGCATGAGCTAGCACGTTCACTCGATTATAAGGTCGAAGTCAGCACCGGGTAATCTCGTCCCGCCCGACATGGTCGTACTTCCCAGAAAATCGGTCCGCCTTAACCCTTAAACCATCATGGCGCAGCCTGGCTGACTAAGTTTGACTATTATCTATTAAAGCCTGGCGCCATCGGAGTGACTTGAGGTTGAGTTTTGCAGGAAGTGACACACAGCTATCAAGACAGATGTGTCGTGTCCTGTGCTGTATTCACGAAAACCTGGTCTTGTTTCTTTCATACTACAGAGAAATGTGGACAGAAATGAGTTCGAAATCTCTCTCCCTTTCGAACACACGACCCTACACTGGTTCAAATGTATCTTTCATTTTTTTTTTACTGGAGGTTGTGACGACATCGTTAGCCATGTACACGGTTCTACTCATCGCCAGTTGACTGAGCTGGCTTTTTGTTCTTTTGGCACGAGTAGCCATAATACCATGGACTGAAAGACAGTGGCACCAACATGTAATGCCTTCGGTGAGTCTGCATCCGGTTCTGTCGTCCAGAGCAAGCTAGGTCTAGGTCTTCGCTCCGTTGGAAATACGCAGAGACGTGCAGACAATAGACCTAGCGGGAGCTCTGGAAGCCTGTTTGGGACACAGCCACAGCAAGATGCAGAACGACCATGTGCTGTACAATTTGAAACGCAAGCACAATCACTGCTGGTGCTGGTATGGCTGTAAGCTGGAGCTTTCCTCAACGGGGTGTTTGTGCCAAATGCGCTTGCGCACAGTTTGCCAATTTGTCGCAAGGCCACTATAATCGAAGATTGCAAAGAACTCTAGGTTCATGTAGGCCTGGTTCCTGAGACAATATTCAACCATCGCATTTCACGGTAACCGGTTCCATACAATCTTGCAGCTG